ACGTGGTGCGGGGCCCGGGCGCCGCCCCCTCCTCTCCTACCTCCTCTTCCTTCCCCAGCCTGGGGGCCCCCAGAGGCCCGGCCTGCTGCCGCCTTCCTGACCGCCCCTTTTGTCCCATTCGGAACGGCCGATCCCCCGCCTGCTTCGGGAGCGCTCGCGCCCAGAGCCCGCCGCCCAACTTATGGGGCTGCCTCACTGCCCCCAATCTGATTGCCCGAGTCACTTCCATGTCCCAGCACCGACCTCCTGCAAGGTCCTAGCAGTGGCCCCACCCTGCGCCCACACGCCCCCTGGGCTCCGCTCCCTGCACTGACCCCAACACCAAACTGACCCTCCCTTGCCTGCTTTCACAGCCCACACCCCTTTGTCCTGCCCTAACCGACCCCCCCCCCCACCGCGCCACACACACACACACAGATTGGTCACAGGTTGGCACCGCGTGGGCAAATGAGTTTTGTTTTGATTCTTTAGGTTAAAAACAAAACCACCCAGTCGTTTGATTTGGGAGATACCCTTCTAAGAGTCTTATTAGTAATTAATTGTCCTGCCCTAACCGGCCCCCCCCCCCACCGCGCCACACACACACACACAGATTGGTCACAGGTTGGCACCGCGTGGGCAAATGAGTTTTGTTTTGATTCTTTAGGTTAAAAACAAAACCACCCAGTCGTTTGATTTGGGAGATACCCTTCTAAGAGTCTTATTAGTAATTAAGCAACAACTGCCCCACCCCAGCCCCGAACTCACAGACTTGCTTTTCCAGGTCACCCTGGCCCCTACCACTACCACTTTGCCCTCATGCATCTGAGTTTGAGACCCTTGCCCTTCCTGTCCTAATCCTCCCTCTGGCTGCTGCTCCCTTCTCTGTCCTTCCAACAAGGACCTTCTGTACTGACCTTTCCCTCTGTGCCCCTAGATGGTCACCATGGGCCAGTGCTACTACAATGAGACCATCGGCTTTTTCTACAACAACAGCGGCAAGGAGCTCAGCTCCCACTGGCGGCCCAAAGATGTGGTTGTGGTGGCACTGGGGCTGACTGTCAGCGTGCTGGTGCTGCTGACCAACCTGCTGGTCATCGCGGCCATCGCCTCCAACCGTCGCTTCCACCAGCCCATTTACTACCTGCTTGGCAACCTGGCCGCAGCTGACCTCTTTGCCGGTGTAGCCTACCTCTTCCTCATGTTCCACACAGGCCCGCGCACAGCCCGGCTCTCACTTCAGGGCTGGTTCTTGCGGCAGGGCCTGTTGGACACGAGCCTGACGGCGTCCGTGGCCACACTCCTGGCCATCGCCGTGGAGCGGCACCGCAGTGTGATGGCCGTGCAGCTGCACAGCCGCCTGCCCCGAGGCCGGGTCATCATGCTCATCGTGGGCGTGTGGGTGGCCGCGCTGGGCCTGGGGCTACTGCCCGCCCACTCCTGGCACTGCCTCTGCGCCCTGGACCGCTGCTCGCGCATGGCCCCCCTGCTCAGCCGCTCCTACCTGGCCGTCTGGGCCCTGTCCAGCCTGCTCGTCTTCCTGCTCATGGTGGCTGTCTACACTCGCATTTTCTTCTATGTGAGGCGGCGGGTGCAGCGCATGGCGGAGCATGTCAGCTGCCACCCCCACTACCGTGAAACCACGCTCAGCCTGGTCAAGACTGTTGTCATCATCCTGGGTGAGTGGCACCCTGCTTCCCAACTCCTGCGAGACTGATAGAGCATGATGGGAGGGGATGATTTGGGTGGGGAATGTTTTCCAAGGAGGTGCTACCTGAGCAGAGGCAAGGCAGGAGTTCCAGGCAGAGGGAACAGAAGGTGACAGCCCCAAACAGGACCAGCCCAGTGTCTCCAAAGAGGGGAGGAGGCCCACGTGACTGGTCCGCAGGAAGAGAAGGTCAGCACAGCCTCAGAAGGCACAGACAGGAGTTATATTTTGTTCTGAGTTCCATGGGAAGCCCTTAAGAGTTCTTAGCCAGGAGTAATGAGGTCTGGCGGTTGAATGTAGAATGGTCTGAGCAGGGGAGGTGCACACACCACCCCCAAGAAACAAAGAGCAACTCTTCCTAATCATTCCTTTTCCGCCACCGAGTAATCGGTCGGTCCCACAGTGACCTTTCCCCCAAAGAACAAATCTCTATGTAGAAATGTCCAGGGTCCTGTCCACTGTGTACCAGTTAGGAAGGGCTTTCCTCTGGCAGACAATCAGAGAAAGGTTTCCCCTCTTAGCAGTTCTGCCCCATCATGCTGCAAAGGCAGCAAGACAGGCAGCTCTTCCCTACAAACTGCACAGCTGTCGCCCAAGCTCTGGAGACTCCTCCAGTTCTGAGCCATTGCAACAGCTGGCCCTGCTCACATCAGGCTCCATCCTGCAGGGGCGTTTGTGGTCTGCTGGACACCGGGCCAGGTGGTGCTGCTTCTGGATGGTCTGGGCTGCAAGTCCTGCAACGTCCTGGCTGTGGAGAAATATTTCCTACTCTTAGCCGAGGCCAACTCGCTGGTCAACGCTGTGGTGTACTCATGCCGAGATGCTGAGATGCGCCGCACCTTCCGCCACCTCCTCTGCTGTCTGTGCCTTCGCCGGTCCACCCACAAGTCTGTTCGCTACACACCCTCCACCCAGACAGGCCCTAGCACTCGCATCATGCTTCCTGAGAATGGCCATTCCCTGATGGACTCCACCCTTTAGCTAACCTTGGACTTCAGCAAGGTACAGCAAATGCCAGAGCTCTGCCCCTGGCCACTTGTGGGTGCGCCCAGCTCTACCCAATCTGCAGGCCAGACTTAAAGGCAGACCCTCAGTCTGGCTTGGCATGAAACCACTGCCAGCCCTACCCAGGCAGACAACTGTGCCTATCTCAGGGCCTGTAGGTTGGGGTCATCTAAGCACCTGGGAGAGAGTTGAATGGGGTGCAGGAATCTGGCTCTTCAGTCATCTCAGGTTGCAGGGCTTTTTAACGGACACTTTTCTGTTTTTACTGCACATGCCTGGCAAGCCCTGTGGACTGCTTCCTTGTCCACGGTGGCATGGGTAATAAAGGTGGGAGAGATGAGGGCCCCCTCAGGCCACGCTGCCCAGTGCAACAGGGTAACAAGGATGGACCATGGGAGCCCCATCTGCCTGAGGCTGATTGTTTAGGGGCACAGACTGAGGAGTGCTGAGCGTGAGCTGGGAAAAGGTTTATGGCCTCTTGCAGCCTTCAGTGGTCTTGCCTATCCCCACAAGAATTAAGAGGGTCTACAAGGAGGGGGTCTATAAAGAGTAAACCTTTCCGCTCTGAGGTCTCCAAAGCGTTTTCTGTTGTAAGCTTAATCTGTCTGTCCCTATGTCCCAGAATTGTCCACCTCAGCTCAGGCTGAGCTGGGATCCTTCAACATGGCATCTCCTGGGCCCTGTTCCCACTCCCTTTTGGTCTCTGCATGGCTGTTGCTCCGTCTCTCTTGTTGTTCCCTTTTGCCTCTGTCTCCTCCACCTCTTTC